CAAGAGATCCTTTTGCCTCAACCTCCCGAGTAGCTGGGTGTACAGGTGCACACGACCATGGCTGGCTGTAGTAGAGACGGGGTCTCGCTCTTGTTCAGGCTGGTCTCAAACTCCTGAGCTCAGGCAAACCTCCAGCCTTGGCCTCCCAGTGTGCTAGGATTACAGATGTGAGCCACCATGCTCACCCAAGCTCTATTCTTAGATTAATTCTCTAGTACAAGCTTTGGACCTTTTTTAACTTAATTTTTTAGTTCTTTTAACTTCTAAAAACTTTTTGGTTGTTTACAATCAAGTCATGTTCTCATGTTCTTGACAATTCTACATATCCCTGTGCTTATGCCTTTAATACTACATGTTTGCTAAACTATATTTACAAGATGATATTACTATGATATATTTAGAATATCCCCATCTTAAAATAATTTGGAGCTAAGTGATCAGGATTAAAGAAGTATTCCATTTCATATCATGTTGATTAGAGTTAAACTATATTTGAACCTGAATTTTTGCTGACAAAGTTACATTTAATGGATACTTTGAAATTATTTCTAGCAAGTTCTCACAGTCTAGCAAGAATCAACTTGATTAATTTCTCAAACAGCTACCAAGCTATTTATATTATCCCAGATCTATTTAAAACACGTATATATGTGCATAGAAAAAATATTGGAAGAGTATATCAACAAAGTTATTTCTGGTTGTTTTTACAGGCTATTTTTACTTCTTAAGCCATTTCTTTGATGTACTTTTTTTAAAAAATCAAGATGTGTTTCTTTTTAGTTAGGTGGGGAAAGATTAAGCCGCCTATTTTCTAATGATTCAATATTGTTTTGTCTATTTAGGCTTGATCCGCCCATCCTAATGGGAACATTTTTTAGTAGTTAATTTGTTAGACTCAGTCTAACACAGTGCACTATAATCACCTTTTTTCTTCCTGTATGAGGTCAAGAGATACCTGGTTATTAACCTTTCAAAAATTGTAAATATGCTTGAAGCCCAGTAATTATCCAGAAATCACTCTTAAAATTTAAAAAATCTCAAATTTTTTCACTTATAATTTAGAAGCTTCACTTCCTGGGTTCTTAAATTACTCTGTATTATTGTTTACAGTTATACTTCATAATGTATTTTTTAAAAAACAGACTAAGATTTTTTTTAAAAAGTGGGATGGAGTAATTTTTAAATGATATGCTCTAAATATAATCAATGTAAATTATACTAGAAGTAAAATAAATTATTGCACCCAATTTTTGTCACTGTGGTAAAGTTAAAGAGCAGTGTGGGTGAGACGTGATCTCTATTTCAGGATTTTAAAGGATCCTGTATTTTACAGGATAACACTATCTGCAGATTTTTTTTAAAAAATGTAGTAGACAGTGGGGAAGTAAACCTACTATGTTTTAGTCAGAAAAAGGTTTTGGGCAAAATGTCATTTACTTCATCCTTAAAGAAGAAAAACCAGGATGTGCTTTAATGAAGAGGGGGAGTTCTGTGAATGAGATGTAACCTACCTAAAGATGACGTAAATCTCACACAGAATTCATTATTGTTGTCAATGCTTGAGGGAAGGCCATATTTACTCAAGTGGCTAGAAATTGGAAGGGACTATAACAAGAAAGTCTTTTTTTTAACTAACATTTTGTATCTTTAATGTGTGTGGCTGCTAGGAAACTGTTCAGATTTTAAGAAAACATACAAGATATGCAAGGATGATTGATTAGTCATAATAAATAATACAAAACAATGTCATAAAAATTAAATAATTGAGACAGGAAAGCTGAAGTTCCAAATGAGTTAAGCCTTTCAAAACTGCCAAATATGACAGGATGGGCGCTTTGCACTATCTTTTGTGTTCTTGGTACAGAGTACTTAAATAGGAGGTAAACTTTCCTCTCAGTGTTTGCTGCTGACTCTTTAGCAAGGAGCATTTTCTCCAAACTGGACATTACAGAGTAATACAGTTTAGAGAATTATAGCATAAAATAAAATAGTACATCATATTTTCCTCTATCCAGATATATCAACTTTGGAAATTTCTTCCATTTTTCATTTTCTTGGGTCATTCTGTTACAATGAGCTGTAATTGTTGCTGTTGTTTTTTAAAAACAGGGTTTTGATTTAATTATCTAAATTTTAACATTTTAGAGAATACTGTTTTAAAAATCACAATTTCTACACATTTTTAAAATAACCTTTCATTTTTCTGTGTCCACAAAAATTGGATCCTTGGTGAAGGGGAAGGCGGAGAGAAAAAAAATTTGAATCTATAAATATAGTTGGAAAGTGGTTTTTTTCCCCAAAAAAACAATGTATTGCATCTTTTGGGGCTAATAAAGTGGATGTCACATGCTTTATTTAACCAGTCCCATATTAATGGATACTTAGATTTATTCTTTTCTTTTTTTGTTATTATGAAAGTGTGGTAATTAACATTATCATTTAATCATTTTTCCAAGAGATTTTCATAACCGAATATGATGCAAATGATTGCTAGAGTGCATTGTTTGCATTTTGCTACTGTTGACTCTAATGCTGATCTGAAACCAGCACTTGAGTGGGTAGGACCTACGTAGTTTTCTGGCATCATAATGTTTAATTTTTGAATTCTTGATTTTTATTTTGATGCGGTGCTCTCTGTTTTTGCCACCCACTTAAACATCTTGTTTTAGAAGGCAAATAATGTATATAATAGGCAACTCTCTATTAATGATAGTGTTGGCAGTAATAGAAAAAATGTAGAATGCTGTCAGGTTTGCCTTATCACATTTGATAAGCCTAATTTAGTTTACAGTAGTGAAATTGACTTGAGCTATTAAGAATTCCTTTTGTTGACATCTCTGCCAGTGTAACAGCTTTGTTATTATGAGTCTGAAACTTTTTAGCTTTAATCTCTTTTCCCATGGGAGCAATTGTTTTGGTTGCATGTGGTTTCCTAGAAATGCTACTGTTGCATTCTTGATTGGTAGTTTTCAAACTGGGATGTTTTTCAATGTGTAGATTCCTTTGTTTCCAGAAATTCTGGTTCTGAAAGTACAGGAGAAGGGTGTGTGTCCAGGCTTGTGAATTTGGAATGCCACATCTGTGACTGATACAGGTGGTTCCTGGACCACTGTTGTCGATGAGTAGGATGCACGTAGTTATTGCATACTTGGATTATTTTCTTAGAATAAATCACTGAATGTAGGATCACTTGGACAAAGGAGGTGTAATTTTTAGGCTTTCAATACATAGTGCTAGATTGTCCTAAAGAGATATTGTATCTATCTACATCCCATCTGCAGGGTGTAAGACTATGCTATCCTCTTGCCAGTGTTAAGTATCATCAGTCTTTTTTCATCAGTAATAATAGGTGGATCTAAATTTTTCTGAATTATAAACTACAAGGAAAATTTTGGCATTTAATTAATGTAGAATATTATTCTGGCCTTAGTATTTGTTGTATGCTGTTATTTGTCCCTAAATGTGTACAATTGTATGAAAACTATGAATAGAATTTGGATTAAATGGCTGGCGGGACTTGCTTATAAATGGTAATCTTCATAGGAATATAATGTCACTATGAAAGGGTTGGGTTTATCAGTCATGTAAAACAGACTTGGTATCCTTTTGATATGTTCATCTTAGCAAGTTAAGCTAATTATATTTTATTGAGTACATTTTGGTTTGTTCCAGTAGCCGGATCGAGCTGGGAGATGTAACACCACACAATATTAAACAGTTGAAGAGATTGAACCAGGTCATCTTTCCAGTCAGCTACAATGACAAGTTCTACAAGGATGTGCTGGAGGTTGGCGAATTAGCAAAACTTGGTGTGTTTTTTTCTCTCTTCATTTGTTTGTGTTCTTGAACCTTTGTTTTTAATATTAGAGCAGAAAGAGTTAACTGATTTAGTCTCCATATTTTACAAGTGAGGAAATGGAGGTGGTCTGTGTTCTAAGAAAAATGTCAGAGAAGTCAAAATAAAATATTTGAATTTTAAAAGGAAATGCTAAGTGTTCTTTATTATTTAGGGTATGCCTGTGTATTTTCACTTATTTAGCTTTCTTCTAGAGGAGGCTTAAACTTCCCTAAAACAGTGTATGATTTTTGATATTCACAAAGGAGCTGATAAAATTTAATATTGATAGCAACAGTGTAGTCCTTTAGAAGGGAAGAATATTAAATAAAATGTGTTATTCTGTCTGTTGAATGCTATATCTTTATATTTTCCATGGCAGCCTATTTCAATGATATTGCTGTAGGTGCGGTGTGCTGTAGGGTGGATCATTCACAGAACCAGAAGAGACTTTACATCATGACGCTAGGATGTCTGGCACCTTACCGAAGGCTAGGAATAGGTAAGATTATTTGTAATTGTTTTACTTCTTGAAAAAAGCATAAATACATTGTTAATGTATCTAATCTAGTAGGTCTGTTGCTTTCTTTTTTTGGAATACTGGGAAAGGGTTACTGACTATATAAAATAAGGTGAAAAATAATTAGTGTTCATTTATTAACATAATTGAGTTGGAAGCCTTACATAGATTTGTTATTCACATCCCCTTTTGCTTTTTCTGTATTTCTTATACTTAGAAGTGCTTGTATAAAAAGGTTAATTTTCTGATAACAGTTTTAAACATATGTAGTTATTGTAGAGAGAGAACAAAATTTTGGAAAATAAGGATGTCTATTGTATACCTTATAAATTCTATTAGGACACAGTAGCTAAGATAGCAGATGGATAGACGTGTAATTTATGAAATTCCTTATTTGTTTATCTTATTAATAGGAACTAAAATGTTAAATCATGTCTTAAACATCTGTGAAAAAGATGGCACTTTTGACAACATCTATCTGTAAGTAAAATGATATTTAATGTTCTTATCTAAAGAGTTTAATTAACAGTAGAAATCTTTACTGGAAACTTTAAAATCTGGTCATTTATTTCACCGTGTCTTTGGAAACACCATGGAAGTAGTTGTTATAAAGTATAGGTAGTTTGTTTTGTTTGTTTTAATAATAGATAAGGAAGCTGAGATAAAACACACAGCTTTATTATGTTGGGATGGGAGCTCTAAAGTCATAGGGATGAAACCAGGATCAAAACCCAGGTCTTCAGAATTCAAGACCATTAATACCATTAATATTAATTTTCTTATGCCATGCTGTTTGTACTTTGTGTATTTTGTTTGAGGCTATCAATGACATGCTCATTTGCAGTAGAGTATAATAATTAAAATCAGAGATTACCTAGGCGAGATTATACTTGAATCTCAAGAGGCTGTAGATTAAGAGCCACAACTAAGATCACAGCCATATTATTTGATAATTCATTTTGGCAGTGGGAGAGATTAAATTGTGCAGTGTTATTTTGGGGAGTAATTGAGAAAGCTCAAATTTTTTATTTTCAAAATATACCTTGTTTTTCATCAATCAAGAGAAGGATATGTTCAGGTTTTGAAACTCTAGTTTTTTATTTTTCATCATTTTTTTCTGTATGTTTATATGGCCTTTGAGTCATTTCTGTGGTTATTTATCCATTATTTTTATTTACAGGAGTCTTTTCTTCCCTTACAATCAAAAATATGATAGGTAGAGTACTTTGTCCTTTGTTTCCTTTGAGAATAAACACTGTTACTGAGCTTCCTATTCTTAGCAGCTGTCTTGCAAATGTAAGAATTAGGTTAGAAGTGTTAAAATTGTCATGAAAAGGTTTTCAGGAAACAAGTACCTGATCTTTGTTGATTATTGGTAATTGTGAAGAGAATATAACAAATGTCTGCAATATTCTAGTTCCAACTAATTTGGAACTATGTGTAGAGAACACTTAAAAGATGATGAAACCTTAATTTTAATTTTTTTTCTGATACTTTTATATCTCAGGCATGTCCAGATCAGCAATGAGTCAGCAATTGACTTCTACAGGAAGTTTGGCTTTGAGATTATTGAGACAAAGAAGAACTACTATAAGAGGATAGAGCCTGCAGATGCTCATGTGCTGCAGAAAAACCTCAAAGTCCCTTCTGGTCAGAATGCAGACGTACAAAAGACAGACAACTGAACAAATAACAAATGAACTTTCTTGCACTTGCTTGTCGCCAAATAAAAGAGAGGCCCATTGATTTTTTTCCCCCATCTTTCTTTTAAAGCTTTTTATTCTCCTAGTTCTTGTTTTTCCTTCTTTTCTTTTCTTTTTCTCCAAAAGTTTAAAACATTCAAGGACTTTAAAAAATAATCATGCTTGGATTGTTTTAGTTCTCTTATTTTTGTGAGGTGGTTCGATTGAAGGAAGGAGAAGGTAGAGCTGTTTGATTTGATGGTTAAGATATATGGTCCCAAAAAGTTGGTTGTCAAATAATTTCAAATTTTTTAGCTTTTTTTTTTTTTTGATGTCCTGCTTTCACATTGAAGGGCAGAGCCTACAAAATATTGTATATTTCAAAAGGCAAAAAGAAGCAGCAGCAATATCTTGTTCTCTAATTAATAGACAAGTTTTGTGTGTTTGTGGTACTTTGGATTTTTTAAGATTTTTGTGGGATACAAATCCCTAGACATTGCCTTCACTCCACCTTTAGTCCTTCTGAGCACTCTCTCAGAAGTTGGACCATTGTTATCCTTGTAAGAAATACTAAGCTTATTTTGATTTTTTTTTTAAGCAATTATTTCTTCTCTTCTTGCTGGTGGGTGGGGCAGTTTGGGTAGGTAGTGTTATACTTTGGTCTAAGTATTTGAGTTAAACTACTTTTTTGCTAATGAGTGGGCTGGTTGTTAGCAGGTTTATTTTTCCTGCTGTTGATTGTTACTAGTGGCATTAACTTTTAGAAAGTGTGGGCTGGTGAGATTAATTTTTTTTAATATCCCAGCTAGAGATATGGCCTTTAACTGACATAAAGAAGTTTTTTGTGATTTAATTTTTTTTCTACTGTCATTTTTCTTCAGTAAACCCAACAATAGTTAGTCTAACCTTAAAAATGGAGTTGATGTCCTTATAGGTCACTACCCCTAAATAAACCTAAAACAGTTGTTTTCTCTTGGACATATTAAAAAATACCTGCAAGGAAGCTTAGATGGACTTGTGGCACAATAAATGCATTAAATGTCAACTAATGCAGGCTGTTAAAAGTGTGGCCACTGAGTGTTTGGTTTTATAGGAAAGCATATCTAGACAGTATTTTTGAGAATAACGTAGCTAATTGCTTATCTGTTGGAGAACATCCCAGATTTGTTTACACTGTGTGCCTACAATATTGAGTTTAAGGATTTGGGGTAAGGGGAATTGTTAAACATACTGCTTCTATTCTTGGAAAAGTAGAAGTATAAAGTGTTAATAATGCAGATGTCACTGTGACCTCCTATACTGACAGTACTGATATATGCCAAGATCATTTTCTGGCACATAGGGATTAGCTTTGACAGGTTGCTAACTTTTTGTAAGATGGGAAACATCTGAAATATTCATGTTTTCTTCCCGTAGTCCCATCTCCAATATTTAGAAATTTTTAGATTACCAGTACTGATGGCCCAAGAAATATCTCAATTACACTTTAAAACAATGCATGGGCTTGAGTTTTCTGTCATTAGACTTTAAAAGAAAGTTTGATTCATAATATTTATCCTCTTATGTAAAATTTTGGTGTAAAAGTCTCATCTCCAAATATGTTAAATGACAGAATTATTTTATAAAATGTTTATGCACACTTTATAACCTTAAGTTTTTATTTGAGAATGTGAAAGTACAAAGTACATAGACTTAAGCAGTCTTGAGTGCCAAGAATAACACAGAAGAAGAAGATAGTTGATATAGGGTTCTAATCTTAAAATGGTAAAAATGTAGACAGACCATGCTGGTGTTTTGGGTATCAGTTTCTTAAACAGTCCAAATCTAAGCTTAGAAGAAAAGTTTAGTGTTGAGCACCTTTACCTTCATAGATAAGCTTCAGCTTGCTCTTGCCAAGAGAATAGTGCTTGAGTTACAGAAGGCGTAATTAGTTTGAAGAATTCAGCCTTTTTGTAAACTTTCAAGATATCAAAATAGATTTTGATATATAAATGAGTTTTCTGAGATGACACTGCCTCAATTTCTATAACCATTTCACCTGGACTATCTAATCAGTCCTATGAATGTATCCCTAAGTGTGGTTATTAAAAACCGAATAGCTGCCTCATGACAATTTAAATACATGTTATTTAAGGAAGAAAAAATATTAAATTTTGAATTGAGTGTGTAGGCTCCCTATGATTATAGAGTTTTGTTTTCCACACTAGTCAATGACTTAATATAAATTGTAAATGTTTGTAAAGGGTCGATTGTCCTACATCAAACTTGTATTAAATGATTCCATCCACTTAGGAGGAGGAAGATTTGGAAGAGGTAGAAGCTGGGCACTAGTTCATACGCCTGTGAGTCAGTAAAGACTGAAGTAATGTCCCATCTGTAGTTGGTTATTTTGATAAAAGTGTCTTTGAGGTAAAACAGTTCTATTAACTGGAAGATCACAGGATATTTCCATCATATTTTTCAGTACAAATAGATTTATTGTGGGGCAAATAGGTTAAAATTATACTGTATGGTAATTGCATTTAGGTTCTAAAGAAAAGAATCTGTAGAGAAATCTATGCAATATATAGTTTGTCCAGATTAGTTTTCATTTGGGGAATGAAGTTCTGCAGTATCTCCAAAGCAGTTTATTCATCAATTGAAAGTCCTCCAAAAAGAGAACTATTGGGAAACCATGGTGTGTGGTGGTGGAAAAGAAAAGCTCCCTCAGTTTTTTGGAGGGAATAACTTTAAAAATACTTAAATGGCTGAGTTTACTTGGTGCAGTTAAGAATTAAACTTGTCAATTTTAACATTGCTGTTACATCTGAAATAAATTTATGTGATGTTCTGGTAGTGATCTGTGATGTCTATAAATGTCAAAGAAAACTCTTGCTTTGTGTTGAATTCTGCAGTCAGTGACTGTATGTAGACATTGTGTACTGTTGCCCATACTGCTTTTATTTACTTTCACATTTCTTTAAGATCTAATTTAAAACTCATTAAAACAGTCCAGATGTAATCAAAGCATCCTAATTCAGACCTTTTGGAACTTGATGGATACACTGCCCAATATCTGCAGTCTATTCCCAATGAGAGAGAGAATAAGATCTAAGGAATTGTCCTGCTGCTGTATTTTGAATGTAATTGTTAAAAATACTTGACACTTTAGGCCATGAACTGATTACTGATGTGTATTGGCTGCAGATAAGATATGTTCAATATTCTTTTTTTTTTGTAGTGAGGATGGAATTTAGTAGTTGAGTGAGTTGGGAATTGGTTTTTAAGTTTTTTCCTAATTATTAGACAAACATGAATTTAAAATTTTGTCTTTAACAAAATTCACTCAATACTTAATATCTCTGTTCAAAACTGTTGAAATTAGAGTTTTGCTTTTCCCATTCAACAAACAATGGGCGATTTTTGCCCAGTGTATCTTAGTTATGACTAAGCTGTTGGACCTCAGTTCCTCACTATGTGGGTATCCTCATAGGGCTGCCTGACTGACAGTTGGCACCTGGCTTCCCCCAGAGCGGGTGATCCAAGAGTGTGAGCAAAAGCCATACCTTTTTTTTTTTTTTTTTTGACTTAGCCTCAGATGACATTACTTCTGCCATATTCTGTTGGTCACACAGAGCAACCATTGGACCAGCGTGGTACGATGTGGGAGAGGACTACACAAGGATATGAATACTGGGAAGGTGGGGATCATTGTACCTTCTCGGGGACTGGCTATCATACTGCTTGGAGAAAATGCTGAGGTTTATTGGCTACCGAGGCAGGGTAGTTGGTAAGGGTATGTTTTACTTGTTTCTGAAGGGATTATTTTCCTAAATGAGGGTTAGAAATCACTGTACTTTACAATCATTCAGAATATAAAAAATAGAGAGTGGGCCTAAAAGTTGATGGGTTTTTGGTGGTGGGGAGGCACTAATCTATCTCTCAGATTGATGCTTTTCTAGCCAAGTGATCCGAATATTTATGGAAAGTTAGATATTGCAGTCACAAGTAGGAACAGTAAGACTATGGAAATTTTTCAGGAAATATTTTCTATTGCAGAGGGTCCTGAATTGGACCTCCTTTGCAAGGCTGAACAGGAACTTAGTCCTAGTTTATGATACAGCCAAGTAACATCCATATGGAAAAAAGGGCTTGAGTCAAATTTTTAAATGTAGGTGTAGTTAACTTGGTAGAACATCGAGGAATGTGAAGTCAGGGAACAGTCTGTTACTGGGGCAGGAATTCAACACTTTCAATTCTCCAAAATTTAAAACACTTGATTTCTTGGGTAAAAATTGTTTATCAAGAATCAGTGTGGCTCATTTCATGTAATCCTAGCACTCTGGGAGGCTGAGGTGGGAGGATTGCTTGAGGCCAGAAGTTAAAGACCAGTCTGAGCAAAAGTGAGACCCCTGTCTCTACTCAAAATAGAAAAATTAGCCAGACATGGTAGCATGCACCTGTAGTCCGAGCTACCGGGGAGGCTGAGGCAGAAGGGTCGCTTGAGTCCAGGAGTTGAAGGTTGCAGTGAGCTATGATGATGCCACTGCACTCTAGCCTGGGCAACAGAGTGAGAACCTGTTTCCAAAGGAAAAAGTGGTAAGAACAAGAATGTTATGAAACTGCTTTGAAGGTGCTATAACAAAGCCCTCGTCTTACTAAGAGCACTGGGTTTTGCTTATACGTATTTCAAGTTGTGTATTAGCATTTCACCTACATAACCAATTATACATACAATGCTTGGTAGTTTTATTACACTTTAGGGTAGGAGTAGAATTGCTAGTAACAAATAGAATTTAAGATTGCTCAAATCTTTATAGAGGACTTTTAATATTACCAAATGGTTTCTCAAAGTGAGCTAATTAGATGAGTTCAAGTTTGGTCAAAGAAAAAACTTAGGTATACTGTTAAAAACTACAGCCATTTAACATGTGCTTTAATTTATACTACTTAGATCCTTTATGAGCTCAGATATCTTGAGGACAGCAAATAAAACATTAAAACATGAAATTAAGCTATGTGACAAATTAGTTTCAGTAAATCAGGAATATCTAATTCAAAGTTCACAAACTCCAAAATACTCCATCCAATTAAGTATATTCCCAAATGTTGGATTCAAGCTTTCATCACAAATTAATATAAAAAGGTGATAATTCTTCAAGATTTAAACTGTAAGCTTTGTAAGTAGCAACTGCTTCATTTAACTCCCTGCTCCCATTTCTGGACCAGACCCTGTCTCAAAACAAAACAAAACAAAAACACCAACAAAACAACAGACTAACTCAACTCTGATAGAGATCATAGCAGACAAAAGAGGAGTGACCTTCCACACATTTTGACCTTTTGCATCAGGATCCAAAGAGTAAATTCATTGTTCTGATCAACACAAAATTCTTCCCCAATTGATTGACACTAGGAATGAGCTATTAGGGATTTGAATCAATTCATTTATTTTACATATAAGCAAATCTATATGACCTTTGTTCACACTTATCTTGCTCACGCTTTGTCTTATTTACCTTGTTATAGTTAAAGCAATATTAACTCCTGTAAGGGTATCCTCCACAACTGCTCAGTACCTACTGGCTTCCCATTTTCTGGCCAAACCCTTCTTCCTCTTTTTCTGCATAAAATTGTCTAGTGTCTCTTCACAGCAAATGGAAATTCAGCCTATAACATGTACCCTGGGACAAATTTAGAACATGGTTTCTGGATTATCACCAGTCATCAAAGTTTTTTTTTAAAAAAAGTGCTCCTTATAACTCGTGAAGCATAGTACACTGCCTTAGATGAAATTCCGTCATGGAGTGTACTCACGAGGGAGCAAGCACTGACAATGAAAAGGATGGGTACGGCTGTGCCTTCCTGATGCCTAACAGTCTGGCAAGAAACAAATGTTACATTTTTTTTAGTTGCCATGAGGAAATATGTTGGGGTGGGAGACATAATTACAGAATTTTGGAGAAAACTCATTTAAATTAATTTTGAGTTCTCTTAATACAAGCAAAATAAATAATTGTCCCATATGGTTCTTTTGACATAGGAAAGAGTGATTTAGTAAAAACCGAGTCTCTTACTAAGTACGAGCTTCCTTTGGAATTTACATGTGAGAACATAATTAATGGAAGAAATAAAAGTGTAATATACCATATTCATGATATAAAGTGTATAAATTGTCTATGAAAGTGTCTGTAAAACAGTGAAGTTTAACAAAATTCTAACAGGCATGCCTGCAAGGAAAGTTAAAATTGAACTGCTGACATAAGGGGATAGATGTGATTAGAGAATCAGGTATCTCCACTGAGGCATAATAAAGCAACAGGAAAGATAATGGGTGTGAGGTAACTGGCTAGCAATTGGGAAAATAATCTAGGACCAAAGTAATTGACCAAAAAAGGAAAAACTGCAGGGGGCAGTGGGGAAGAATAATTGAACATGTAATTTGCAAAGCTCTGGAGTTGGACAACAAGTAGTAAGAATCAAAATTTTAAAAGGTTTGGATTTAGGCCAGGTGTGGTGGCTCATGCCTATAATCCCAGCACTGTGGGAGGCCAAGGTGAGAGGATCACTTGAGGCTGAGAATTTGAAACCAGCCTGGGCAGCAAAGCAAGACTCTGTGTCTACAAAAAAATTTATAAAATAAGTCGAGTGTGGTGTCATATACCTGTAGTCCCAGCTACTCAGGAGGGTGAGGCTGCAGTGAGCTGCGATGGCACACTGCACTCCAGCCCAGCCTGGACAACAGAGTGAGACCCTATTTCTTAAAAAAAAAAAGTCAGATTTACCAAAATTGCACATGTATGTATTAAGAAGGACTGGGAAAGTTTGCATTAAGAACTTAAATTTACTCAATGTTTAAAGAGCTCATATTCTAAGAAAAACATTACAATCTTTTGATAATGAAAAGAGAATTCACAAAGGAAATAAGGGAAAAGGAAATTCTAATAAATAGCTTACAAAAATATGTCTTTACTTTTGACTAATGATGAGAGTTTGGAAATATTTTATCATGTCAGGCCTAACCCAACTGCCTTTCATTGGATTCATTCGTTACAATAACATTTATTGAGTTTACCATGTACTAGACACTGTGATTGATGCTACCATACAGCACAGGGCCTACAGTTAATATTGTACACTTAAAAATTTGCTAAGAGGGTAAATCTTATGTAAGTGTTCTTATAACAAAATAATAAAGAGGGTGGGGGGAAACTTGTAAGTGATAGATGATGTTTATGACATTGTAGTGATGGTTTCATGGATGTATACTCATCTCCAAGCTCATCCAGTTGTATACATTAAATATGTACAGCTTTTTATATGTCAATTATACCTCAAGTGCTTTTTTAAAAAAAATTTAAAATAGATCATATCCTGGGCCATGAAATAAGTCACAATACATTTAAGAAGCTTGATACCATATCTGGAAAATCCCTAAATATTTGGAAATTAAACACTTCTAAATAACTTGTGTTTAAAAAGAAATTACAAGAGAAATGAGAAAATATGTTGAACTGAAGGAAAATGAAAACAATATACCAAAAGCTTCATAATGCAGCTAAAGAAGTGCTTAAAGGATAATTTACAGTATTAAATGCATATGTGAAAAAAGAAGAAAGATCTTGAATCAAGTATCTTAGTTTCCATCTGAAAACTAGAGAAAGAGCCAGTTAAACCTAAAGTAAGCCAAAGGAAAGAAATGATACAGTAGAAACCAATAAAATTGAAAAAACAGCAGAAAAAAAGAAAATGGAAGCCACTTTGAAAAAAAATTGATAAACCCTTAACCAATCTGACCAAAAAACAGAGAAGACACAAATTGCTGATATCAGTAATGAAAGGGAACATCACTACAGAA